TAAAGAGAGTAAAATATAAAAAAAACTTACTTTCGTCCAATCGACAAAGGCATAATGTTGAATGCCTGAGTGAGTGAATGAATTAATTAGTTAAGTAATCAATCAATGATTCAATGATTAAAAAAATAAATGGAAAAATAATTTGAAAGATTGAGTGATAAAATGAACGAATGAACGAATGAATGAACGAACGAATGAATGTATGAATGAATGAATGAATGAATGAATGGAATGAATGAATGAATGAATGAGAAAAATTAAAAGACGAAACTAAACCTTACTTCAAAAATCGTCGTTACTGCACTCGATTGCACCGACCACCATCATCTGGTCGGCACACAAGATTTCATCCGAACTTCAGTGTCAGCCGAACAGCCAACGAGCTGATTCTTCCTACACCACCATCATTATGTTTAAATCATCATGAGACCACCATCTGAAACGTGCTGACTCCCACCTCTGCCCACCTCTCACCATTCTGTAGACAAAATTTTTTATTAGCGTAGTAGTAAATGAATGTTAGAATCTTAGAAGCAAAAAATTATAAAATGAAAACAGTGGTAAAATAGTATTTTAAAATAATAATGAGAGTAAAATGTAAAAAAAATTTACCGTCGTCCATTCGACAAAGGCAGAATTTTGAATGCGGTCCGGTTCCTACGTTGTCCTCCAAAACTGGTGCAAGTCCCCCGAGATTCTTGTTGAAACAGTCCGTGGGATGGAAAAAGATAAAGAGAAGATTCTCATCAGAAAGCTTAGCGGTGCCTGCATCTCTAATTGCTTAATAAAAATAATCCTATCTACCTATTCAATTAACTTAACTAATCTATATAAAATTGTTAATGGTACGATAGTCGAAAGTCCCCCTTCATTCTCCCTCCTTGCACAAAGGTTCACCGACAGCCAGAGCACCGGATAGTAAACCATTGCCGTGCGGATAGTAGACTATTGCCGTGCGGATAGTAAACCATTTGCCGTCCGGAAGCCGTGCGGGTAGTAGACTATGGGCATGCCGCATAGTAAATCATTACCGTGCAGATAGTAAACCATTGCCGTCCGGATAGTAAACCATTGCCGGTTACTGGCCACCAAAGCTTACCTCCGACAACGGACTTTGAAATTCAGAGTCTATCGGCTATCGTACCCTCAACTTACCTATTCATTACAATTAAGCCCTAGCTTACTTAAAAATTACAAAACTCAAGAGCCCAATTCATTGGCCAATCGGCACCCACCCCACCACCTACGTAATGCCTTGGGCTCCAACTTAGTAATAATAACATAAAACTTAAACATAAATTCTAAATCTATTAATGAGTATGTGTTACAACGTAGCCTTAACTTACCTATTCATTACATTATGGCCCTAGCTTACCTAAAATTAAAAAACTCAAGAGCCCAATTCATTGGCCTTTCGGCACCCACCCCACCACCTACGTAATGCCTTGGGCTCCAACATAATAATAATAATGTAAAACTTATAATTAACCTACCTACCGATACACTTACAGCTCTTTTAATTTACATTACAAGATTGTTCCTAGAATTACATTATTGCCCTTAACTACCTATAAAATTAAATTACTCTCAACCTTAGTAATAATAAATTAGAATGTGTAATGAAAATAAAATTACGCTTAAATACTAACATATGTGTAATGTATGTATTTGTGTGTGTATGTGTATGTGATACGCTGATGCGTGTAATATGGGTGCAAGAAAAAATAGAAGCGATAAACTTACGCTGCCTACTTATTCAACTACATTAGTGTTGGATGCTTCCTATCTATCCTACCTACAATTAAAATTATGCCTATCTAGCCTACCTATATAGTTACTTAATGTAATTGTGTGTGTGTGTGCGTGTGAGCATTCTTACTTAATTTTAAATTACTATGAAAAACAGAGAAAAAAGAATAAAACGTATCCCAGCCAGGCGTGTATTCTTTGCCACAGAATGAATGAACGTAGCCTGACATCTTCCATGATGAACTCCTCTGAATGCTTCAACCTGAATGAAATGAATAAAATGAAAAAAATCTTATTTATTTAATTAATTTAAATGAAAATAGAAAAACGAGCCGCGATGAAACCCGCCAGCCGAAAAAGCCAGCCAACTGGTAAAAAAAGAAACCTCAAAATAACTGTCAAACGAACCCCAGCCAGGCGTGCATTCCTTGCCACTGAATGAAAGAACGTAGCGTGACTTCACAACTATTCTGATCTTTCACGATGAACTCCTCTGGAAGCTTCAACCTGAATGAATGAACCTAAATGAACCTAAATGAATGGAAAAATGTTATTTATTTAATTAATTTAAATGAAAATAGAAAAACGCAAAGAAGCCGACCGGTCGGCAAATAAAAGAACCTCAAAGAAAGGTATCTATGTAGAATTTATAATTCTATATAACACTCTATATAACACTCTATATAACACTCTATATAACACTCTATATACACTCTATA